AACAATGACAGTCAAAACATTACTGGACTTTCGAAGTGGATATAGTGACGACCAAATCAACGATACCAATAATGATTGGATTTTAAGCAACGTCAGTAACTATTGGACTTCCAAGAGGATATGGTGACAACCAACTCCGTGATACCAATAACGATTGGATTTAAACAGAGCGGCAGTCAAATCATTACTAGAATTTCAAGGTGGATATGGTAACAACCAAATCGGCGATACCAATAACAATTGAATTTTAAACAGGATGCTAGTCAAAACATTACTGGGCTTTCAGGGTGGATTGGTGACAACCAAAATAGAGATGTTGATTAACAATTGAACTTTTAACAATGCCAGTCAAAACATTACTGGACTTTCAAAAAGATATGATGACAACCAGATCAGCAGTACCAATAATAATTCGATTTTAAACAATGCCAGTAACTACTGGGCTTTCAAACGGATATGGTAACGACCAAAATCGAGATGCCAATAACAATTGGACTTTAAATAATGTCATTCAAGACATTACTGGGCTTTTAAACTGATATGGTAACAACCAAATCAGAGATACCAATAACGATTGGATTTAAAAAACACCAGTAAACATTAGGTCTCAGCAGAGTCGGTTATCAAATGGGACATCGACTAGGGGATGGATTTGGGTAAACACCATATCTTAAGGATAAGCTGCAATATTAGTAACGACTAAACTTTGGTAACCACCAATTAGCAGTATTAGATGAGGGTCAGCGACCGACCTATTGCTAGTCACAACTAGACTTCTCGGGGAATCCAAAAAGAAATAAAATCTTCACCGGGGACTAAACCAAAATAGAGAATTTCCTTACAGTGAAGAGTTCAAACGGGATCTTCAGGAAATAACTAGGGGTGTAGGTGACAAACAAAACATCCTAAGATGCACTAGGAATGCTGGTAACAGCCAATCATCCTGAGATTCACTGGGTGAATATTGCCAATAACCATTGGGCTCTTAAACAGATATGGTAACGACCAAAACCGGGATGTCAATAACAACTGGACTTTAAACAATTCCAGTTAATACATTAATGGACTTTCAAACAGATATGGTAACAACCAAATCGGCAATATCAATAACAATTGGATTTTACACAGGACACCAGTCAAAACATTACTAGACTTCAAATGGTAACGACCAAATCAGCAATACCAATAACAATTGTATTTTGAGGGATGCCAATAACTACTGGACTTTCCGGGGATATAGGTATTTATCACAATAATACCTAAGCCGGATAACTTGGCAAAGTTAAGGTAACAACCAATGGGTAAGCATGTGACAACAGGTCTGAAGCAAAGAAGTTTGGTAACGATCAAAGGATCTCAAGATGGTATCCAATAACTACTGGGGAAGGAACACCTGGCAGATTCTTGACAAAGAAAACCGTTTCAACTGGATCACAATGGCCACAATCAGAATAAACTAAAACAAGAGGTATGCTAAAAAATGCATATGTGAAAGGTATGATGCAAATGCAATGCCGGACGACTCTGCAGGAGAAGGAAACAAAAGATAGATAATGATCTATCACTGGAGGAAAAAAGAATCACACTGAATCCCAACGCTAGAGAATGGTCTTAATCCTCTAGAGAGGAAATGAACCCTATTCTTGCAAGCTTGCCGGAGAGAGGTCACAACTTCAATACAACGGACAAAATAACTAACCAAAGATATCAAAACTTCGTAGCGCGGCGACATGGGGAAAGAAATCTCTATAGAGCTCATATTGCTGAAATGATGGTATCAAGGTTTCAACTGGTCTGTCCTTATGAGAGGAGTCTAATTTTACACCATCGTGTCACAATCAAAGTTACGACTTGCTTGTTGTCGTACCTCGAAAAATACGATCCTCGCGATGGACGCGGAAAAATGTTCGAACAGAGTCGCCACAGAACTTTATTCATTTCAAGGAAGGAATAGGAAAATATCGATAAAACCTTTAAAGAGATAGGAACATGGTCATCGCAACCAAATTCTAGGTTCGGGAGTCAATTACGCAAAGGGAAGGTGTTAGCACCCTCTACGTCCATTGTACTCAACGGGAACCTCTTGATTCGATTCGTTAGAGAAGTTAGCTAGGTTTGTTTATCTTCTAAAGAATTTGCTTACTAATGGGAAAATGGGTGATTATAAGATAGGGTGCTCGCTAAGAATTGGGGCCCTTGTGCCTACATACTCCCCCGTGCAATAGGAAAGTCAGAGCATCGTAGTTCGTGGGACTACATGAAAAGGAAAGAATTGTGCTCGCCAAGATCATCACAATCTTGTGCCTACGTATCTTACATTCAGAAGAGAATGAAGAATCAGAGTGTCCATAGTTCGGACAACTACGGTTGGTTGGTAAACGAACGAGTGTTTAGGTCGCATTCTAACTACTAAACATAGACTTGACTGCTCGCTAAGGGAGGTTGAAGCGCGAGTTTATATGCGCGGAAGAAAGGATTAAACAATGTTTTTGGTAAAAGGTGTATTTGAGTCGAACGAGAGTTTAGATCGCATTTTAACTGCTAAATGTTGGCTTGTTTGCTTGCTAGGGGAGGCTGAAGCACGAGTTTGTATGCGCGGAAGAAAGGACTAAACAATATTCTTTGCAAAAGTGGTTTGATTTATGGATCGCACGGGGGCAAGGAATTAGTGTTTGGAGAAGTTTCAATCGCACGGGGGCGAGGAATTAGTGTTTGGAGAAGTTTCAATCGCACGGGGGCGAGAAAATAGAATTTGATTTGTTGAGTATTTTGGTTTGGGAAAGATGATAGATTTGAATAGGTTTTAGGGTTTCGGTCGCACGGGGAGAGAAAGAGAGTTTAATGTATCAGATGCTTAGCTAGAGGTGACGATTACCTGAAGCTTAAGAAATGCTTCTCGAACCCAAGTAATCGAGAAAGTGAGTCAAAGACTTGACTCCCTCTCTTTTTCAACCTTAATTGTGAAGGAATAGTCTCTTTTTCAACCTTAATTGTGAAGGAATAGGATGTGGTTCGAGTAAGTTAATAATGTCGATCACTCCAGTTTTAAGAAAGACTCATCAGGGCTAAGTAATCGGGAAAATGAGTCAAAGGCTTGACTCTCTCTCTTTTTCATCTAGAAAAGAGGTTGCGTTTGAAAAGTGTTTCGAACGATGAAGATAAATAAAGTGTTTTAAATGGATGAGGATTACTCGAAGCTTGAGAAAGGCTTCTCGAACCCTAAGTAATCAGAATAAGTTAAAGGCTTGACTCTCTCTTTTTCTCATCTAATTTTATGAAAGATCTTTAATATAATTAGAGTAAATTAATCAGATGACAATTACTCGAGGCTTAAGAAAGACTCCTCAGACCCAAGTAATCGGGAGAGTGAGCCAAAAATTTGGCTCTCTCTCTTTTTCATTTAAGTATTTAGAAAGAAAAAAAAAAGATTTGATTTCGTTAAATGGATTAGAACTTTTAGAGAAACTGCTTAAAGGTTTCCGAGAAAACAATTGTTCGAGTATGAAGAAGACTCCTCACACTTCAACAATTGGGCAAGTGAACTGAGAGAGAGAATAGAAGACTCTAAACTCTCTTTCAATCTAGTGACTGTGAAGATGATTTGAGAAAAATTATTTGAATATTCACAAAATGAATAGAAAATGGTTTCAAAATCGTTTTGAAATTAACCAAAAGTTAATTGAAAATAGTTTGAAAACAAAATTGATTGTAATTTGGCTAAGCTATGAAAATGTGACAATATCACATGAAATATTCAACAATAAAATTGCATTGCTTACAAAATTAAAATTGAAATAAAAATAAAATAAAATAAAGAAACAATATTAATATATTAAAGTGTATAATTCACGAAATAAATATATATATATATATATATATATATATATATATATATATATATATATATATATATATATATATATATATATATATATATATATATATATATATATATATATATATATATATATATATATATATGTGTGTGTAATTATAAAATTTTACAATATGTGTGACTTTTAAAACTTAAAAAAATAAAAAAAATAAAAATTGTACAGTATATACTTATTAAAACATGAGGTATATATATTAATATATAACTATGAAACTTACAGACTAAATACATATAAATGTTTAATATAGTGTAATGTAAAACTCCAAATTTTAGAAGCAATAATATACGAAACTTAAAACTCAAAACTTAAAATTCAGACTTACTGTATGCACATTTATACATAATAAAAAATTTGAATGGAATTACCATCCTCTAGAACACAACCTGTGTATTTCTATTAGTAAGAATAATTTGTTAGTTACGCAATCCTATGCAAGCCAACCACATATAATAAATCAGCGACAACTAATCTAATCAACGACAAAGCTCAGAATTCATGAAATTGAAATCGAATGACAATAATCAAACACAAACTGCGACAAACAAGCCTTGTCAACAAACAATCCATAATTTCGCAAAAAGTCATGTAAGAGGAATAAAATCATAACAGCCGGCAACACATAGTAGGAAATTAAAGCCATAGCAGAAGCAGCAAAACAAATAAAAATTATCCACAACAATCATCGATAGCTTGGAATATCCGCGACGATGGAATCTGGATGCCATTACCGCCATATCAGTTATCGACCACAATAAAGAAACAGAACTCAAGTGCTGCTGGGTTCAACTGGGTTCAACTGCTGCTGGGTTCAACTGAAAGGAACGGAGCATAGGTGTACGTACTGCTTTAGGTCGTTGCTATTGAAATTCGGCGACACCGTGACACCGTAACATTGGTGGATGCGGTGTTAATGTTGCTTGAGCCATGTCTCCACGATGTTGTTAACGGCAAAATCATAACCTTCTTCGGCCAGCTTTCCAAAGATGTGAAACTCGTATACCGATGCTGCAGAGTTGATGTTGTTCGCGTTCTCTCTTTGCAGAGTCGATGAGTGGAGCAGCGATCGAGTTGTAGTGTTGCAAAAAACGCCACTGTAATTGTGGAATGTCGCGGCAGCCGAACGGAAACACAATAGAGCAGTCTCGAGTTCATGTTTTGTTTCGAGCAACAGTATCGTGGTTGATGGTAACAGACGGAAGTGTTGCTTTCACGGAGGAACAAAGGGTTGAGTGTATGGTGCACCACATGTGGGTTTTGTGGAGGGGGAAAGAAAATCGAAGGAGGAGAGGGTGGAAGAGTAAAGAAGAGAAAATGTGCGATGAGGGTGAGGAGACGGAAAACGGGAGGAAGACGATGATGGTGAGGAAGAAGAGGAAAGGTGTGATGGCTAGGTCTTTTGGGAAAGACGAAGATAAGAGTTTTGAAGAGCAGAGAGGTGACGGGAGGTGACGGCGGATGAAGGAAGAGAAAAGGGCTAGGTTTTTCGGCTTAGAGAAAACGAAAGGCGGGGGATGAAAGCGTGGCGGCTGTGAAGGAGAAGGTGTTAGGGTTTTGGGAGAGAAGAGGAAAAGGTTTGGATTTTGACGAGGGAGAAGGGGTAGGGTTACGGCGGCGGCGGCGCCGAATTAGGGTTTTTAGGGGAGGGAGGGAGAAGATGAACAGTATTGGGGCTAGGGTTCTTTTGGTTTTTTTTTTCTTTTTTAAAACGACTCTTCTTCAGTTCTTCCCCCTTTTTATCCTGCTTCTCGTCATTATCTCCTCGTCTCAATCCTTTCCCAATTCTTTTTAATTTTTCTTTTTTATTTTATTTTAATTTTTCTTTATTAATTTTCTTTTTTATTTCTTTTTCTCTTTTTCTAATTTTTTTCTAATAATTCTAACTTAAATTCTAATTAATTTCTAATTTAATTTCTAATCTTATTCTAATCTAATTTCTAATTTAAATTCTAATTTTATTTTCTAATTTAAATTTTAACTCTATTTTCTAATTAAAATTTTAATCTAATTAATTAATATTAATATTAAAATCTCATTATTATATTATATTAATATTTATATTATTAACATATAATTAACATTTTTTTAAAGTAAAATTATTAAAAAAAATAATAATACATAAATAAAAATGTCATGTGTCACAAATTTATTGGACAAAAAGGTAAAATTTTAAAAATCACCCCTTATCAAATAAATATGCTAAAAAATGAAAGCATGAAAAATTCAAATTAATTATTCTGGAATTTTGATAAAAACATAAAAATAAATTGGAGAAAATAAACAGAAACGAGCAACAAAGATGTTTAACTGATTAAAAACGACTACACACAAAAAGATTATCGTAAGACGAATAACTTAGAAAGATGCAGCACTCAATCAATTTTGAGAATCGACCGGGACTAGTAAAAAAACTCAAACTGATCAAAAGTGATTGAAAATTCGTCGAGAGATAAGACGAGTACGTTAGGTCGAGTTTAAAGGGAAGGTAGGTTAAAAACCCTAGCGTCTGCATGCTTAAATTCGAAACTTTTCAATCATTTTTTTTCCGTATATTCGAGACACAATTTAGTCAGTTCGTCTGCATATCCAGGAAATTTGTTCTGGCTAATCATTTTGTAAATTATTCGCGGTAAAACGCACATTATGATGTACAAGCGATGCAAATTGAAAATTAAGTCAGATGAGTGAAAATTTAAAACAGGTAGGACAAATTTGGGGTATGACACTTGTTAATTAACTTTCTCCAAAATAATTTTTGTTTCAAAAAACGTTTGCCTTTAAAAATCATTATTAACGAATAAATGATGTTTTGCATAACAAAAAGGTAGGGCAATCAATAGAGCATAAACAAAGATTGGTCCAAATCTGATTTCATTCAAAGATGGAAACTTGCAAAAGGCAAAGTCCCATGGAACATTTACAATTTAGAAAAATGGCAATATGGGAAAAGGTTACAAAATCCATCTATAATCCAGTTCTAACTAGCTAAGAGTCTGCATGAATCACTGCCTCTAATGAGAGTGAGCCTCTTTGATGATGTTTTGCAGTAGTGACAACTCCTGATGCAGTGAAATGCCTTTGTCCCTAACTTTTGTATGAATCGCCCTTTCGGGTTTTCAATTCACCGGGACGCTCATTTTTTTTGTCTAAGCCGCCTTTTCAGGTTTTCGACTTAGCGAGCTTTTCTTTCTTTTATCCCTAATTTTTGCCCGGATCTCCTTCGTAGGTTATCATCCACCAGGATGCCCCCTTTTTTGCCTAAGTTGCCTTTCCAGGTTTTCAACTTAGCGGGTTTTTTAGGCATAATATTTTATTATTGCATCTGAGTTTACGGGATATTAGAGCTATTCACCGTCCATCGTTGCAAGGATAAGAGAGCTTCCAGAAAAAACCGTCTTTACAACAAATGGGCCATCGTATTTTGGCATCCACTTTCCATGCATGTCTCGCTGTACCGATAGAATCTTCCTAAGTACCAACTCACCCTTTTTATATTCTTTGACTTGGACTCTTTTGTCGAAGGCTCTTTTAACTTGTAATACCCCAAATTTGTCCTATCAATGTATGTATCCTCCATCTGTACATTTACCCACTAACCATCGTTCAGAAGATCCAAAAATATGTTGTTACTTTCAGGATGCACTAATTCAAGTATTGAGTGGTTAAGGTTCGAATTAGGATTTTTGTGTCAAAATCAAGTTGTCAAGCAAAGTAATCAAGTCAAGGGTAGTAATGGTTGGAATTCAAGTGAAGTTTGACCTCATCCTGGTCAAACAAGTATTTTTACTTATTTTCAACTCATCAGGCTATGGCAAAGTTAGGTTTTTCATGATTAAAGATCATCAGGGTTCAATTCATTTTCAAGGGGGGTTCATTTGACCAATAGTGAAGAGTTTGGTTCAAATATAAAAGTTCAACACGGGTTTGTTTTGGTCCCACAGTTCAAGTTTGATTTCTAAGACATGATTTAGTTGATTCATAATGCTTTCATCATCGTCAAATTATTTTTAGAGGTTCAGGAATGATGTTGTGGTGCAGGCAACTTTTGCTTCTACTTCCATCCATGAACAAGCATAATGTTGTCTAAGAATGTCAAGTATTAATCATAAAACAAGTGACATTCAAGATAAATCAAGTTCAAATCAACAATGGATAGTAAGATTTTATTTCAAGCCCATTTGAATTTTAAAAAAAATACATATAAAAATGGGTCCATTTGACACTAAAACTTTCAAAAATTGCTACAAAGCCCACACCATGATAAGCAAGCAAATCGCATCTTGCAGCAGCAAATAATAACCAAGTTGAACATGAGAATGACACCTATTTCATTAAATGAACCCAAGCCATGTATACATACACACTTCTACAATCTACATACTTTTTCAGCATACAAACCATGCCGTCGCAACACAACTTGAACATTCCATACATGAAACTTCCTATGCTACAACGTTACTGTTAATCATGAAGCTATCAAATGGATTACATTTTCAATTTGACCAAGAAAAAAAAAACTCTGTCATGACAAGGCAACCACTAAAGGTGGATGGATTTCGATAAGCCAAAACGAAAACAGGATCCCCGGTGAAGAATTTGTTTCGGTCCTTATCACCCTTTGACCTTCGGCGTGCCTTCCGCACCGAATATCTATTGGTTGGCGTGCTTTATCCCCTTTTCGCCAGTAGCCTCCGCCAAGCACTCCCCAAGTTCAGAAACGCAACCACAAACAAAAAAGAACCATGGCACAAAACAAAATGAAGAAAAATTGCATTAGGAACATAAAGCAAATTGATTTTCACGGATTAGACAGAGAAAAATTGCAAGCTGTTGTACCAAAATCCAGCTGTGTTTTGTTTTGGAAAAAAGAACTCACAAAGTTGCGTAACTGTACCTGCTACTACCTCAAGCTATGACCAGTACTTCTACCAGCTGAAAAACCTTCAACAAGCCATAGCCTGCACCAAACCCACACCAGAGAATCTCTGCACAAGCGGTACAAAAACCTGCGACCTGCATCATCAGCTTGGCCATAAGGCATTCACCAAAACCGCTAACCACACACTAATTAAAGATTTGCTGCAAATATTGCCCAACACAAACAGAACCATTACCATGTTTAGCCACACATAACCTGCAGAAGAGACACCTCCCAAAAATTAGCAAAAACTTCTGCAGAATAAAAAAAAACAAAATGGACAAACCACAAGCCACAGAACCGTGCATAACACACCAGACCAGACATGCTGCTATCAGTACAACTATGATCAAAAAACTTGTGGACTGTGCCCTGCTGCTCCCTGTTATCAACCCTGCATAACCTGCTATCACTGCTCAAAAAAAAACATAACCACAACTCATACCCTGCTACACAGACACCACACTCAGCAACAATCCCAACAATCAACTCCAATCTTCAAGACAAAACCTTTCGTTGCTCATACAAAATCTCAACCAGTTCTAATCCTCTTCAATAAAAAAAACCTCCCTTCCAACTTGAACAACTCTCTCTCATTTTTTTCCTTGAACAACAACAAACTCGGAAAACTTTAAACTAACATCCTTCTTCTATATCTTTTTCTTCATCACATTGAATAACCCTCCACCATTTTCCAAACCTCAACCTTTTCCTTCAAACTTCAACCTCATAAAAGACACTCACCGTTTCCACTGTCCATACTGCAATAACACACGTGACAACCTTGAATTCACAAGCCATGTTTTCTCAACAATAAACCTTTACAAGCTCATGCTGCATAAATCTCATTACACCATCAACATTAAACACTTTTCTTCAGCACTATCTTCACCATTCAAGCCCAACCTTCATCCCAATTGAACCTTTTTCTCGCTTTAAATCCCAGCCATAACAACAGCCACACCTTCAAACCTCTATTCTTCTCCTTCACTTATCTCACCAGTAACATCAAGCCACCATTAAACAACCTCCAGAAGCTCTTGAAACTCAGAACAACATCCTTTAAACTACAACCACATACCTCCTAGGTTTGTTTCTCCTCCACCATACAACAACCACTTTCGAAACTCCAACACAACACCACCCTTCTTCAACCTTCCATTTGCGTTTTCTTCCATTAAATCCAACCATTCCTAATCTTCTTCCGCAACATCAAAATCAACCTAGGATTTCAAACAAGATCCACCGTGAAAACCTAAAACTTCACCTCTGAAAACTCTCAATCGAAACTCCTTCAAGCTGTAAATAAACTCAACTCACCACCGCATGAGCTTTTGTTTCTATCAACTCATAAACCCTCAAATCACAAATCCCTTGAATCTTTCTCAAATCAAGCAACCCCAACAAACCTTCAAATGATTATTCAAACTTCAGAAACCAAACAGAACCCTTGAATCGAACCCCTTTCCCCTTTGCTCGAAATCCAAACGAACAGCTTATTGTTCATCATCGAACAACACCAACCATCTCCTCC